AAGAGAGAGAGAGAGAAAGAAAGAAGGAAAGAAGGAAGGAAGGAAAGGAAGGAAAGGAAGGAAAGGGAAAGAAGGAAGGGAGGGAGGAAGGAAGGAAGGAAGGGAGGGAGGGAGGAAGGAAGGAAGGAAGGAAGGAAGGAAGGAAGGAAGGAAGGAAGGAAGGGAGGGACACACCAAGCCTTCCCCAGTTTCTCCGGGCTTTCAGGGAGGATCCGATGAGAAACACGTGCCCAGGACGGCGCAGCTCCGTGCTAGAATCAGGTCAGTGGGGCTCGCTTCATCTCTAAAGCACAGACACCATAAATCAAGATGAAAATCCTTCAGCTCCAAAAGCCTTACCAATTGATACAATTTGAAAATGGGCAGCAGAGAGGCTGGGGAGAAGGCTGACATGATGACTTTTATAATAGCAGAACGTTTAAGGTTCTAGAAATAAAAGGAAGAGGATGAAATCAGGCACGTTGGTCTCTGCCTGCAGGCTCTCTGAGCTCTCACTGGAAGCTCCCACAATTATTTCTGCTCTGGCTTTCCCCTCCTTTTTTTTTTTTTTTCTTCCAGCAGTCTGTTTGAAATGAAGCAGAACCGGGCATGGCCAGCTCATCAGTGTCATTAGCTGACAGGGCGCCCGGCACACCTGCTTTTACTCGCTGCCATTTCAAGCACGAATGCCACAGAGAATGTGGCTTGGGTCCTTATAATGTGTAAAGATTCATTTATTTCACCTTTTGAACCTGCCTGACCCCCTGGGCTTGTGTTGGGGAGGGGGAGGAGGACTGGAGAGGGTTGTTTTTTTTTTTTCCCTAGCACTTAGAAGAAGCTCACAATTAGGGGTCTGGCCCTGGGGCTGTTGTTAGGATAGAAGCTTAGGAGAGAGGTGGGAGCTTAGCCAGGGAGGCCCTGGTAGGGCTTGGGCCACGGGACCCAGACCGGAGACTGGGGGGATGGCGCTGAGCACCATTCCCCTGGCTGCTGGCTCCCTGGCTCAGCGGTGGCCCCCCCGCCCCGTGCAGGGGCTGCTTTGACATGGAGGGAGGCACCCTTACCTTCCGAGGCCCCGCCCCGCCTCACACCACACCTATTACAATGCACCCACCTCTGCTGTTCACTATGACTGTGGCGAAGATCTCTAAACATCATTTTGCCCTTGGAATGATTTGGCTCTGAGTACCGCATTTCATTTATGATGGTTGAGGTTTCTTGGCAATCATGTGCACCTAGGAATTCCTGCAAAGGGAGAAATAGCTACCCTTCAAACTGCTTTCCAATATAATGGAATTTTTATGAATACTAAACTTTGCCATTAATGAAGTTGATATGATATTAAGTTTTGCAGACATTTTAATTAAACCTCAATTAATTTTAATTTTATGGTGTTCTTTTCATATTTTGGAATATGAATATATATTATATATTATACATCATATAATATATATTATTATATATTATTTTATATATAATATATATATTACATATATACTATTATATATTATAGCATAATATATATGTATCTCAAACATTTTAATAACCTCTGGAAAGGAAAGGCTGGTAGCCCCAAACCTGATACCCCAGGTGTCTGATGACATTTTTCCTCCCGTTTTCTTCTTTTTCTTTTTCTTGCTTTCCTTTGGTATGGCTTTGACTTCTACATTTTCCTTTTTAGAAGTTTTAGTGTGTGGGCTTAGTTTGCTAGGAATAAAAAAGTCGTTCTTGTTAGTGGACATTACACTCTTAGGACTTTGATTCTGGTTCCTTCTATTTTGTAGCCCCTGACTAGTCCTAGAGAGTTGGTTATATTCTTCAGCCTCTTCTGGAAAGCTGGGGCTTCCTTCATTTCTTGGTTCTTCCTTCTTTTTGGGAGCTTGACTGTGCACCTCTGTGGTTCCTGCCTTACTAGTATAAGATGAGCTCTTTCCTAGGAAACCCCAGGCCCAGGGAAGATCACCTTCGTTGGCCTGTTGAACCCAAGCTGAGTTTTCTAACCAAGGGCATCACTGCTCTAAGCATTGGGGCTCTCTTGAAACTTGCAAGCATGTACCAGAACAACATCTGTCCCCACCCATAAAATAGACTTCTTTGCTATCCCCTGAGTTAATGATTTCGGGGCTTTAGCATCTTTTATGGTGCACGAGTTTCCAGTGGTTCTACTTGATACTCTTGGTGGCAAAGTATTCCTGGATTTGTGATGAGATTGATTTTATTTTTAAAAGGTGCAGATTCCGAGTGGAGCCATCCATCAGTTGACTTCTGTCTGAATCCCTTTCCTGGTGGAATTTTATTCTTGCAGACACTGCACAGCTCAAAGTTCATATACTTGAATTCTAAAGATTCTTTGGGATGAAAACATCTCAGTCCCCAGTCCTGGGAAGTGAGTATAACATCATATAATCTGGGCATGTATATGGCTGCATGGTGAATTAATACTTGTCAGACCTTGTTACTCTGAAATGGCCGTGGCAAGGTAATGACCATCATTCATTTTATTTTATTACTTTTTTTTATTTGATTTCATTTAGGCTTTGGCAAAGGTGAGGGGACTGACTCGTATTTCCTGTTTATGTTTGATATCCAAAGCCCCTGGGGGAGGGAAGGCGATGCTAGCGGAAAGTATGCAAATTAAAGAGGAAATTTGCGAAGACACCTTGACAAACTCAGAGATGAGAACATCTAGCTTTAACTGTTTGATCATCCTGATTCTGGGCTCTTGCACTTCTGGTTAGCGAAGAAGGTCTGAAGAGGGCACAGAGCAGTGTGGCTCACTGAGTGAGTGGCTGTCTTGCGGGTGAAATGGTGGTTGAGGTTTAGCGTCCAGAAGCAAAAAAAGCTAAGTTTTGTCTTAGCAGCTAATTGAGAATAGGAAGCCCACTCTATGATGAAACTTCAGGTTTTCTCAGCCAACAAATCCTCCCTAGGCCTGTTAGAGTATGTGAAATTATGAAGGGAGGCCTCAATGAGGAGTCATGGTGGTGGGGGCCTCCCCTGGGAAAGAGGCCATTCCAAGTGAAGGAAAACTCAACAGGAGGGCATTCGGTGCTGGGACAGAAGGCAGCATGGTATACTGGGAAGCAACAGAAGTTTGAATCCCACTTATGACACTTCCTAGGTATGTGACAAATTTTAAAACAGGCCGTTTTATCTCTTATTATAAATCCAATATGTTTTTTTAACTGCTCCCCATGATAAGTGTAGTCACCGTCTGTCACCATATGACATTATTATAGTATTATTGGCTAGATTCCCTATGTTGTACTTTTCAACTCCATGACTTATTTATTTTTTAAAGATTCTATTTATTTATTTGTCAGAGAGAGAGCACAAGCAGGGAGAGCAGGAGAGGGAGAAGCAGGGCTCCCCGCTGAGCAAGGAGCCCGACGCGGGACTCAGTCCCAGGACCCCAGGATCATGACCGGAGCTGAAGGCAGATTGCTTAACCGACTGAGCCACCCAGGCATCCCTGACTTATTTATTTTGTAACTGGAAGTTGGTATCCCTGAATGCCCTTGTTTCGCCTACCTCCCTCCACCTCCCCTCTGGAAACCACCAGTTTGTTCTCTGTATTGAAAAGTCTATTTGGGTTTTTCTGTTTGTTCATTTGTTTTGGTTTTTAGATTCCACATATAAGGGAAATCATGTGGTATTTGTCTTCTGTGTCTGACTTTTTTCACTTAGCATAATACCCTCTAGGTCCATCCATGTTGTTGCAAATGGCAGGATCTCATTCTTTGTGATGGCTGAGTAATATTCCATGGTATATATGTACCACATCTTCTTTATCCATTCACCTACTCATGGACACTTTGGTTGCTTCCATATCTTGGCTATTGTAAATAATGCTGCAATAACATAGGGATGCACATATCTTTTTGAATTAGTGTTTTCCTTTGGGTAAATATCCAGCAGTGGAATTACTGAATCATATGGTTGTTCCATTTTTAATTTTTGGAGGAATCTCCATACTGTTTTCCACTGTGGCTGCACCAATTTACATTCCCACCAACAGTGTATGAGGGCTCCTTTTCCTCCACATTTCTGCCAATGCTTGTTATTTCTTGTCTTTTTGGTATTAACTATTCTCATAGTTTTGGGTTTTTTTTTTGTTTTTTTTGTTTTTGTAATAGAAGCAAAAAGAAAACAAAAGCACATCCTTAATCTCATGCATTCAGACAAAACCTACTCTTCATTCTTTCATGGATATCTTTCCAAATTCTGTTTCACATAGAGACATACACACTTGCATTACAAAAATAAGATTGCACATGGCATCTTATAGGCCCTTCTTTTCTCTTTCTGTTCAACTCTGGACGTTGTCAACATTTCGTAATGGCTGCACAATGCCCCATCTTACAGATAGACTTTATTTCCCCAAACTTCTATTGTTGAATGTATAGGTTGGTCCAACTATTCACAATTACAAAATGGCTGTGACAAATACTTGCAGCTAACTGTCCACCTAGATTCAAGATGATCATATTTCCTTATGGAAAAATTCCTCAAAGTCAGATTTTTGGATAAATGGGCATGCATGTTTTTCCTTGAATAAACTTGAAGTTTGTTGAGATTCTTGGATAGGTAGATCCATGTATTTTCTAAAATTTGGAACTGTTGGGCCATTATTTCTTCAAATCTCTCTGCTTCTTTCTTACCGTCTTCTGGGACTGCCTTGATGTGTACGTTAGCCTGTTTAATGGCCCCTCAGAAGTCCCTTTGACTCTTGTTTTCTTCATTCTTTTTGCTCCTCAGACTCATAATTTCAAATGACTGCTCTTCAAGTTTGCTGATTGTTTCCTCCGCTTGTTCAAATCGGCTCTGAACCACTCTTGTGAATTTTCCAAGTCAGTTATTGTATTTTTCAACCTTAGAGTTTCCGTTTGGTTCTTTTAAAATAATTTCAATCTCTTTGTTCATGTGCTAATTTTGTTCACATGTTGTTTTCCTGATTTCTTTTAGTTCTTTGTGTTTTCTTTTAGTGGTTAGAGCCTATTTAAGATAGTTTTTATTTTTCATGTCAGATGGGTAATGTGCCAAGGTCATAAGGTTCGAGGGAGACAGACATCATGCAGTGGCATGCACACCCAATCACCATGCTTATGAACTCCAAAAGGATGTTTAAGACAGTTCTTTTAAAGATTTTGCCTAGAAAGTCTGATGCCTGTGTTTTCAGGGACTGTGTCTGGAGATTTATTTTGTTCCTTTATGTGGGCCGTGTTTTCCTATTTCTTCGTGATTTGTTGTTTAAAATTGGTTATTAAAAAAATCAGCCACCTCTCCCAGTCTTTGCAGACTGGTGCGCAAGACCTTCACCAATTAGCAGGGCAAGGTCTGAACCTTGGGATCAGCCTTGCATGAAAGTTTGAGGTCTTCCCAGGTCTTTTCTGGACATATGTCTTCCCTGGGCCTGTGTATTGCTCCATGTATGTGACTGCTTTTAAATGTCTTCATTTTCCTGAGCCTAACCCCTGTTTCTTCTCGGGCCTTCCCTGCTTTATTATGCTCCCCAATCAGTAATCTCTTGCCTCAGGAGTCTGCAGGTGTGTAATCCCCTTGGATATTCCTGAGTCACACCCACTGCTTCCTGCCTGAGTTCCAGGTCAGATCTACAGAGGCCAATCCCTCAGGCAGCCCCCACACAGGTTAGAACATTGCAAATTAGGTCCACCCTGCTCTCTCTGATTTCAGGAAGAGAACTGGGAATTGGGCTCCTTCTTCCCCAAACTGTTCTGTGCCATGCCAGGGAGGGGGCAAAGTGAGGGCCAGTAAAAAGACTAGTTCCCACCAATGGAATGTGACTTTTCCTTGGTTGGGCATTTGCTTGGTTGCTGTAGATCCCTGACTGATTTCCAGAGCTCCTATAACGTCATTTTAGCACGTATGTGAGTGATTATTCAAGAGTTTGCTGGGAAGGTCCTGCAATTCTTAAGAAAATCTAGGAAGCTCCTCCTCACCTCTTCGGGCTGCAGTGCCAAAGTGAGTCATTCTGGAAGTTCTCTGGAAAGCTGCTATAAACCTCACATCATCTGAGGCTCTTGGATGCAAACTGCCTCCAGAGAAAGATGACCTCTCTTCCTCCTCGCAGATCCCACATCCGTGCTTCTCACAGGTTCTAACCCTGGCATGGGGAAGGGGGTTCTGGGAAATGTAGTCCCAGCTGCACGGGAATCCTGGGAAGGAGATCACGGGGGTGCTGAGTTGGCAGCCCACAGCCACAGCATAGCCCTAGCACAGCCTGAACCGCTCCACATAGTCACTGGCATCAATTACTTGATGGAAACAAATGTGTAGGAGTAAAGATGCTGTTTGTGATCCTACCCGGCTTGTTAGATCCCTCTCTGCAAATATCCCTGTCTTGATGGCCATCTCGACACTTTTGAGTACTGTATAATTATTTACTTAGTACTTTCCATCCAAGGGATTACTCTTTTAAATAGATTATTTCAGAAGAAACTGTATGAATTCCACAAATGGAAAAGCAATATCATTTGCAGTACATAAGAAATACCTGCTAAAGAAGTGGAAACAGGGGTGCCTGGCTGACTCAGTCGGTGGAGCGTGGGACTCTTGATCTCAAAGTTGTGAGTTCGAGCCCCATGTTGGGTGTAGAGATTACTTTTAAAAAGAAGTGGAAACAAAACCACTTCTAGCTACACATTGCTCCCCTCACCCCATCACCACCCTCTCCGACGGTGACCCCTCAAATTCCCACCTCAACTGGAGCAGGTCCTCCTCTGACTTATGTCCTAGGGCGTCCCTCCTCTGCTGAAAATGTTGATCCCACTGTTGACAATAACTAGAAACATCTGAGTCCCAAGCATTTTGGCACACCTGAAGATGCTCCATGGAGGCTGCGGTAGGGAAGGTCACTCCCAGCTGGAGCTGAATTTGGCTGGAAGGCAATGCTTTCAGGTGAACCAGATGAAGAAAGTTGTTTCACGCTATCCTTAAAGAAAGGAGGACTCTGGGGTGCCTGGGTGGCTCAGTTGGTTAAGCGTCTGCCTTCGGCTCAGGTCATGATCGAGCCCCGCATCAGGCTCCCTGCTCAGCGGGGAATCGGCTTCTCCCTCTCCCTCCCCCACCCCTGCCCCGCCCCTGCCGCCAGCTTGCTCTCTCTCTCAAATAAAAAAAAAAAAAAAAAAAGGAGGACTCTGCCTTGTGTAGCACCTTCTGTAAACAGGTCTTGGGATCTTGGCAAGGAGAGATTCTATGAAGAAAATCCCAGTCCGTCCATGGGAATTTTCCCTCTAGCCATGAAGTCATAGCTGTTAAAGCATTTCAGGGAGGCAGATGCGGCCTGATGCTTACCCTTGTCGCGGCCGAGGGTGGGCGGGGAGGATGGGGCGTGCAATGTCCTTACTCTTCCCCCTTCACATAGACTCAAGAAAGGTGAGGGAATTCACGGTCGGCATAGCTGGCAAGGGGCAGAGCTGTGAAGGGAACCTAGGCTTATCTAACCACCGCACTGCGCGGCCCCTTGTTTGGGAGCTTCCAGGAGGCAGTGAGCTTGCTCTGCAGGGTCAGCTCAACTGGAGGGAAGAATGCAAAAGGAGAGATCTTTTGCGGCTCTCTGACAGTTGAGGGCACCAAGCAAAGCAGAGCGGCTATGACCTGAACTTGCCCACCTCTGAAACTGTGCTTCATAAACTGGTCTTGGGAGAGACCCTTTGCTTTCTTGGGGAAAGTTGATCCCCAAGCTGATGCGGCAACTTATCTCAGAGAGCTCTGTCGGGGAACCTTTGATCCCTGGGTCACTCCGGTCTCTACATCTGGTGTGGTCACTTACTTCTCCTCAGGGGTTCTACAGGGGAGAGAAGAGACCAGGGCCACAAATAGAGACAGGTGTGTGGTATGTGAGTCACCTAGCAAAGAGGTGAAGGGACAGATGACAGAGCTGGTGCTGGTTAACACTTTGGAATCTGCCTTCGGGTGCAAAGTGGAGTCTTTGCCTCTTGAGCCCATGACTGGCCTTCAGTGTCCTTCCCTCCCATTCAGGCGCGCCCCACTTGTCTCTGCTCATTCTCTTCTCCAATGACTTCTTCAGCACCCACTCACCGATCATCCAGCGGGGATAGATCACACTTACCCCGCTGTGTGCTAGAGGCTTGGGAGAGTCTCAGGGAGCTCACATTTTAGCTGTGGGTGGGGGTGGAGAATGGGGCAGGATTGGGGGGCGGTGAAGACCTTGGTACAGCAGTGTGTCACAAGGCTGAATGTCACCAGGCTGAGGAAGATAGGAATGGGCTCCAGAGATGCAGGGGAGTGGGGACTCATTTCTGGCTGGGATGGTGAAGAGATCTGGGCGGCGGGGGGGCGCTTTATGGAAAGGAGCAGTGGGAGGCTGATAAGGGGGAGTTGGAGAGGGGATTCCTGGAGGAAGATACAGTATCAACAGGGTAACAGTAATGAGAATATTAAGAGCACTTGCTCCATGTCGGGTCCTGTTCTAAGTACTTAACATGTGTTATTTCATTTTATCCTCAGAGAGGAAGATACTTTTAGTAACCTCATTTTACAGATGAGGAAAGAGAAGCCCAGAGAGGTTAAGAAACCCGTCCAAGGTCACACAGCTATTTTTAACAGACATACAGCCTGCAGGGAGTGGGTGTGACCATCCACATTTAGGAATCTTTAGGTCCTAGAAGTTAGCAGAAACAGAGGGTGGTGAAAGGGAAGTGGTAGACATGAGACAGGAGAGGGTATCAGGACCTTCAATACAGAACGATAATGCTGGCACTGTTTCAATAAATGAACGAATCCATTTACAATCTCTTTTTTTCCAAAAGGAATTTGAGAGATGGTAGCAAGTGGGAATCTTCGTGGGGCAGATGAGGGCACCAGAGGCCAGTGGTGGGGTGGGGCTCAGGGTCGTCGAATATGAATATTAATTACCGTGCTAGCCAACCTCCAAGATGGCCCCCAGCAATCCCTGCCCCTTGGTATTCATGCCCTTGAGTACTTCCCTTGCATACGGAATAGAAATGACTTGCATCACCAGTAGGATCCTGTGCAAACGATGGCATGCCACTTCCAAGGTCAGAGCGTACAAGACATTGTGGCTTTCACCTTACTTTCACTGGGGTCACCTGCTGTGGAGACGGTGGCTGCCATCTTGTGAGGAAGCTCAAGCAGCTCGATGGGGAAGGAACTGGGGCCTCCTGTCCACAGCCCCATCCATGCGCCACCTCGGAAATGGATCTTCCAAGCCCAGTCAAGCCTTCTGATGACCACAATTCCCGGCTGACATCCTGACTGCAGCCAGATGAGGAACCCCCTGAACCAGTCCACTCTCAATCCCTGCTCTCAGATCCCTGACCTAGAGAAACTGCGCGAGATAATACATGTTTCTTGTGTATTTAAGCCATGACGTTTGGGGCTTAAAAATTGGCCCGAGGTTAATGAGATATATACGATAGATAGCAACTGTAATTGCCAAAGTGACTCCTTCTCTGGCCGCTGCCTGGGCTATAATGTTCCCTTCAGCAGGGAAGCATGTAATGGTAGCTGAACTTTTAGCTTAAGGAATGTTTCATTCCGGCAAGGCGGAGAGGAAGCTGGTGGAATAATTCGTACATGCTGATGCTGATTCTGTATTCTTCTTCACCCGGGAGACCTTCCCACAGTTGCTCCTACTTGGCTGCCACTTACCACCCCCCCATGGATGTAGCTGTGCCCCTGGGTGAGGGAAACCACCAGGGACCACATGAAGGTGTCAGCAGTGGCCTATGAGCTCCGTGGGGGGTAAGGGCCGAGTCTCCTCATCCCTATTGCCCTCGTCCATGCTTGGTTGTCATGTCTTGGATACATGACCTTGTACTCAGCCAGACCCTGGTGATGGACGATAAGGTTGTTTCCAGTTATTTTGCTGCTATAAGTGATGGTGCAAGGAATATAATCTGGAAAATGGCATGCCCATAGGTTAACTTCGTGATAGTGGGTACGTACATTGGATGCTCCAGTTCTTGATTTTCTAAGTCTGCGACATACCCCTATGGCAGGAGACCCAGGAGTTGTAAAGGGAGGGCGAGCAGGTAGATACCTTAGTTAGAGAAGAACAGTCATGCCCTGAGGCAGGATGATGTAGGAGAAGTTTTCTGGAATCCCTTTCCTATTGCC